ACACACACACACACACACATATAGCGAAAAGACCCCCGCACTTGTGCAGCGTCAATCTTGGTGCCAAAGAACAAGTTTAACCCTGATTTGAGAAATGACAAAACTACAAATTCGTTCAAGCTTAATTACCTATATATTCAGCTCTATTTATAAAAACAGTTGGAGTATCTCTGTAGAGCCTTACATTGAACCTAAAGAGACACATCACAAAAGATATCAATTATTTGTCTCTTATATTACTCCAATCTTCCATTAACACCAACGCATTTAGTTGTGAGAACTCTTAAACACTTCATCTTTCCTCCACCACGCTACTGTTAGTATCATACTTCTAATTTCAGATACTCATAAATTTTCAATTCCATGCTGGCATTTTTAACTTCCAATTGAAAGCGTGAACATCTGATAAAGCTTCTCCAGTGCATCTACAACTATAACTAAGAACAGAAAAATGAAATTATCTTTTTATTACTCACACATGGTGGTTTCAATGCATAAATCATAATAAATGCCTTACATTTATATTTAAAGGCTGTAATACATTAAAGCTAGAGACTACAATGTACATATCAATTGGAACTCCACTATAGCTCACTCACTCCATTTCTAAAGCACATGCTGGTCGAATATCTTAATTCATCGATCACTAATCTGCATCAATAATTAACTTTAACAATTTGCATCTTCAGAAAAATAATTAATTCAAAAAGCAACAAAAATTTTGGATGGATGGCGCGTTAATTTGATGAGATAGAGAATACTATATCATATGACATATCACTCAGCCTTTCATGTTTCGTTATTGACACGACAATTTTGTGCACTAACAAGCACAAAATAGCAATGAATCATATGATTATCAAGACATTATGAAATCCCCCAAAACATTGAAAGCACAAAATAGCAATGAATCATATGATTGTCAAGACATAACGAAACCCCCAAAACAGTCCTTGTATTCATTAAGATTTCACTTCTTTCTTCTTTGATAACCAAGAAATCCCCAAGGGTTAGTGGTACACGATTTTAAACTCGGTGGATAATGCCCCCCAACCCTTCTCCACCTAAATACCACATTTTTCTCTGTTGGCAAGGTTCGAACTTGTGACGTGCACTTAACTCACAAGTCTTGAGTCTTGCTCTTACAAATAGATCAAAGTCCTGGAACTCATTAAGATTTCATTTCTCCGATCGTCAAATATGTTTAAAGCAAGTTTGGCATCAAAATATCCTCTGAATAAGGATACCTTAAGAGTGTGATTCTCAAATTTCGAGAGATTTTTAACACACACAAGCAGCTGAGGTAACAAGTTGTTAGTGAGTTGTGTTAACTTAATACATCACTCAATACTACAAAAGATATTCAAGTGAAATTTTATAGTGGTTTGTTATTTTATAGTCTCATTCTTAATACACTAAGGGGTTGTTTGGTTGTTGGTTAGAGTTATGCAGGTATTAGTAATGTATGGATTAGTTATGCAGGATCAGTTATGCAGGAATAGTTATATATGGATTAGTTATGTATTATACAGAGTTTTGTTATGCATGGTTTAATTATGAAGAGATTAGTTATGTAGGGATTACTAATGTATGGATTGGTAATTTAAGGATTGTAATGTAGAGATTATTTTCTGTTAAATGTTTAATTTATTTTCATTATCCAATGTGTTATTAAAAATAAATATGAGAGTTTTTTGGTCATTTGAATGTTTAATCCATATATTACGAATACATGTATTAGTTATTATGTCCTACCGTGCATAAATAATACATAGATCTGTTGTATTTATACCCCAACATAAAAAGCAACCAAACATAACATTAGTTATGCTGACTTGTGTACAAACTAAAGGCTACCAAACATGGTATTAGTTATGTTACTCCTAATACATGAATAACTTACTACCAAAACGACCCCTAAAGCTATACAATTATGAAAAGTTCACTAAGTCTTCCTTTTACTCTATGAGTTTAAGTTTTCTGCACTGATGGTGTAAAAAACATTTACACAATAAGGTCACTTAAAAGTAATTGCAGGTAATTTTGTTTAATAGTATGAATTTGTAACCTAGAATAAATAGTAAGTAACAGGTTAAATGACAAATTCATTACAGTCGCTGTATATAACTTACCAGATTTCGGATGCGAAAAGAAAGAACCAACAAACGTCGAGTAAGATGGCACAGAAGAGAAGGAGAGCGTAAGTTCTACCAAGACTCTGACTGCTACTCTCAATAGCCACCAATGCGAATAACCCAATCCCTAAATTGATTAGTGAAACGCCGTTGTATAATGCCCCAAGAGATCCAATCATCGCACAACCAATCTGAACATTAAGTTAAATCACAAATTAATATAATAAGTTTATTTATTTATACCCAAAAAAAAGAAAAGAAAAATCAAAAATTACCTGAACATAGATGAGAATAACAGCAAAGGATTGAATCCTGTCATAATCACGAAGCCACGTCTGTATCTGAGTTCTAAATGCAGAACAAAGCATCATATACCCAAAAAAAATTGAGGAAAAAAGGAGTAGTAGTAGAAGATTGATGATCGTCGCGGGCAATGGGTTCTACATTGAAAATCCCGCAAAAGCGTTCGAATTTCGCTTCTAAAAAACGATGACAGTTCCTACTATTGATTGTGCTTTCATTGGATCAGTGAAGAAGTAAGAATCTTGTTGCCTTTTAGAATTGCAATTAAGGCAGTTATGGGGAAAAGGGGCCAGCCCAGACCCAGAGCAAGGAAAGCCGATTTCCGGGATGTGTTGGTTTCTTTCTTTAAAAAAATTCGACGTAATTCTTGATTTTTGCCGTATTAATTTTTAATTAAATTGGCAATACCTTTTTTTCTTTTTTCTTTTTCTTTTTCTTTTTCTTTTTTCTTTTCTTTTTTAATACAAAATAGTTACTTATGTTTGCGACTATCTTTTTTTTGGCAGAATAGCCTGGGATACACTAATACTTGTTTCGATTTGTTATCCCTGTCCTTACACTCCATAAAGTTTCATCCAGACAAACTTAATCAAAACAAAACTTTTAAATCCTTCTGGTCGTTGACCGAGTTTATGTGGCAGGTAAAGTGGACAAAATGAGTGATTTACACGCACATTAAGTGCGTGAGCTGATGATTTTTCTTTATTAAATAAATAAATAAATACTACCAGCTATTCTAATATGAGAGAAGACTCCCCTTCGTTCTC